TCTGAACCTGTAACGTTTTTTGTTTGGTTTTTTATTTTTTTTATGTAGGAAGATTTTTTCTACTATAAACTTAATTATTTTAATTGATACAGGGCTGTTCAGATGAACTATTTCTTCTTGAGTGAACTTTGATAGGTGTGTCTGTCAAGGAATTTGTCCATTCTTACCTGAATTGTCAAATTAACTGCCACAGTGTTGTTCTGATATTCATTTATCATCATTTAATGTTTGTAGAATCTGTACCACTGCTCCCCTCATTCCTAGTATTGGTAATTGGTGTTTTCTCTTTTCCTGATAAGCATGGGTAGATATTTGCCAATTTTATTGACTTTTTCCCCCCAAATGACATGGGTTTAACTTCACCCATCTTCTCATTTTCTATTTCTGTTTCAGTGATTTCGGCACTCACATTTATTGGTGCCCTCTTTCTATTCACTTTGGGTCTCATTTAATTGTTTTCCTACTGCATAAAGGTTGGAAGCTTTAGTAATTGAAACCTTTCTTCTTATGAAGTATTTAGTGCTTTTTAAAAATGCTAATTTCTAATCTACTTCTTTAGATGCATCCCACGAGTTTTGATGTCTTTATTTTGCTTTGTTAACCACTTTTTTGTTTTCCTTTAGATTTCTTCTTTGATCCATATTTTATTTAGAATTGTGTAGTTTCCAAATATTTGGAGATTTTCCAGATATCTTATTATTATTCATTCCTACTTTAACTCCACTGTGGTCAGAGGTATACTTTGTATAATTGAATTCTTTTAAGTAGATTGAGACTTGATTTTTGCCCCAGACTTTGGCCTCTCTTGAAAGTACTTGTGTACTTGAAAAGATTGTGTATTTTGCAACCATGGGGTAGAGAGTTTTCTATATAAATGTTAGGTCAAGTTGCTTGAAAATATTGTTTAAATCTTATATATTCTTAATGATTTTTCAAATTTGGAAATTTTTCAGTTGTTATGTGTTTCTGTTCCTACCTTCCACCTTTCATTCTGTGTCTGTGACGTGTGTGTATGTGTGTGTGTGTTGTGGTGTTTTCCTTTGTGAAGTTTCTATTGTTATGTCTTCCAGTTTACTAATCTTCTATTCAGCAGTGTCTTGCAGCTGTTGATCCATCAGTGTTCTTTTCATCTCAGACATATTTTTCATCACAATGAGATCATAGTGTGTCTTTTTTATATCCTCCATCTCTACTCAGCACTCTAATCTTCTCTTGTACCTTTTTGAACATGACACATAATTTACGTCTTCTTCTATAATTCTACCATGTGTGTCATTTCTGGGTATGTGTCTGTTGATTTTTCTTTATGTTATGAAATTGTATTTTCCTGCTTCTTTGTACATCTGGTAATTTTTTTATCTCAGGCATTTTGAATTTTATGTTAGATATTACAAGATATACGTAACTTTTTTATATTTAATATATATAAAATATGTATCACATCACACACATGTATGTTTACATTTATATATAATTGTGTATTATATGTATTCACATTTATATAAATATATATGCATATAAACATACATCTGTACACATGTATGATACATATACATGGAGCTGCATTAACTTGGAAACACTCGATTGGTTTCTAGGCTTACTTACAGTTTGTTGGAAACAGCCTTTAGGGCTAATCTGATCCTACAACAGATACAACCACCTTCCAAGTTCCCTTCGGGAGCCCCAGCTGTCACAGTCCCACTCTGGCTGTCGGGAAGGGGAACTATTCCCAGCCCGAGTGCACGCCAGTAACTGATCCCCTGCTGCTCCCCAGGCGTTCTTTCCGCGGCCACGGTAGCTTCACGAGCATTTGCCGATCATACTCAGGGTCCGAGGGGGGCCCTCTCCACACCTGCATGCTGTGCCCTCCCCAGTGCAGGGGCTCACTCTGTGCTGGGAGTTCCCTCGGCTTCCCCGGGATTCCGGGTTCTGTTTCCTTGGCTTGGGCAGACAGCAGTCCTGTGCGCCAGGCCTGTCCACCCCCCACCGCGCGGTGTAGCCTGAAAACTCACCTCAGGCAGGAGGCTGGGGCAGCTGGGCGGCTCACATTTGTTTCTCCTTTTCCAGAAATCTCTGTCCTGCTGCCTCTTTCCCAATATATCTTTTTTTTCCCTAGAAACCTTTTCTCAACTATCTTGTCTGGCTTTCAGTTATTTGAGACAGAAGGGGACACCCAGCCCTTTCTGCTGTGTCTTCACAAGTGTAAATGGTTTGTTGGACTTGGTCTTACAAAGATTTCTAGTCGTGAATCAGTGAGCACATTCGAAGCGCCCTGACTCACCCTGAGTCGGGGGAGCTTCACCTCCCACCCCACTTGAGGTCAGCAAGTCCTGTGTTCATTAAAATAACCAGTTTCCATTTGCATTTTATTTTTTTACAAACTGACCAGGACTGAGAGTCCTACTGTCATGATTTTTGAAAGGTTCCTAGTATCTCCAAAGTGACTGCAGACATCTTTAAAACTAATTTAATTTCACTAAAAAAAGGGAAGGGTACGTGTAATACTTAAGACATAAATATTTGGAAATGAAGAAAATCCCACACTCATCTTGGAAGTAATGCTTAGGAGCTAAAAACTCCTTGTCCTGCCTTCAGAGGCAGGATTTAATAGGGTCAAGTCAGCCCTGAAGGCTGTGCCTGACCAACTATAAGCAAGCCTAGAAAGGACCCGGTGTTCCCAGGCAACTCCCAGCTTCACAGCAGGTCAGGTGCCTCCCCGCAAGTTCGCATGCGCTTCCTGCACCTGGCTGTGACCGGCTTCCCTTGAAGGGCTCGCAGAGCAGAGGTATCGCAGAGAACATGGAGTGGGGACACAGGAGCATCTGCCCTGCCCTCCACCCCCTTTTCTACTAGAAAGTGGAAATCACTTGGCAGCTGTGGCGAGCTGCCCACTGCGATGTCCCTCCCTCTTCACGAGGGCGGCACCTGCCTCCCAGGGGCACTGGTTCCCCGGTGAGGCCAGGGAAGGGCCTTGCTGCCCTGCAGGGTTGAGCTTTACAGCTGCTAAGAACTGCATGAACTGCAGATTTCCCCATGTGACGCTGCTTTAAGAGCTGGGACAGTCCTGAGCTAAAAGAAAGCAAGAAAAGACAATCTGACTCCTTCAAGTGGTCACAATGACAAATGTATTAATTTCTTTGGGGAAAACAAAGAGAATCATATCCAGGTGGCTTCATACCATTTTCAGAATGACTTCTGTACAATTTGGATCCTTTTTTTTGAGATTGGGGAAATACAATCAGTACCTTGAACCCATGTGAAAAATACACCAGGAACTTCAGTGTGACTGAGGAGGGCAGAATCCCAACTGAGAAAAAAGGAGGAACTTATTTATATTAGTGCATCAAAAGAAACAAGTCACGTCTTAACACCAAATCCGAGTTGACATCCTCAAATTAGTTTTCTGTGCTGACCTGAGCCTTTGGCTTGTTGCGGAGCCTGTGGCTGCCTGGCCGTGTCCGAGGAAGGCTCAGACCTGTTCGCAGTGGTGTGAAATGCGGGCATCCGTTTCTGCCACCCAGGACTTTCACAAGCCTGTACCTGTCGACCCTGTGTGCATCATAAGCGGAGGCTAATACCTCCTGCCCCTCATGGTATTTATAACGGTGTTTTTATTCATATGTTGTAATGTCTTGAACGGGGTGGACATCGAACACTGCCCTGCAGTTAGCAGAGCCCTTCCGTTCGCTAGTTTTACGTCAGACACTGTTGAGACGTCCCACCTCTCTTGCAGATGAGGAGGTGGGCAAGTTTTAGGATCAGGAAAGGTTAAATGTGTCTCCCAAGTACAAGGACCCAGGTAAACAAAAGGCCTATGGTCCAAATTCCGGGGTCTTCCTGCTCGGAAGAGCTCCTTCTCAGGGCTGAGGAGGTACCGGGTCCAGCCCTCGGGCTCATGTCGTAGGACTACTCCTCGCTCAGCCCCGGCTGCGCCCACGCTGTACTCGCAGCTCTGAGCTAAGGCCGCCCGTAAGGGCAGCAGGGGTGGCACGGGACTGGCCCCGGCTGGCTCCTGGGGAGGCTCCCGCATGCTGGGGGCGGTTTTCTCACAGCTGCCCTGTTACTGCCTGGTATCATTTTGGTACTGACATTAACTGCAATTTTGCAAAAAGAAGCATAAATCAATTCAGTTACTGTAGACGAGGGCAAAGAGTTGCAGAGAAATGTTCCTGGAGGTTTGTCCTCGGGCTTTAGCTCTGGGCAGCACCTGACTTTATGTCACCTTAGTCACCAGAACCAGAGGTCCGGGGCTTCAGGTAAGGTTCTAACGCTTGCTTGCTGAGACGGTTTGTAGAGTGTTTAATGGCTCAGCCTTTAACACAGTTAAGCTACAGATTAACAAGTAATGATTTTTTTGTATGACTAGACCACTGAAGGAAACTGACAGTAATTTGTTTCCTTGAAAAATGAAATACAAAAAATTTACCAAATGGCCTGATATATTGTGCACTGATTTCCAAAGTCCCCACCCTTTGCAGATTGAACCAAACGGGAAATTTAAGCCAAATGAAGATTCATATTTGAGCTCATTGATGTGACCTGTATTCCTCCATCTTCTAAACCCAGAATGAAGCGAGCAGGGCTGGTTCTGGAGGGGCACACATGGGGTGAAGGGCAGGAGAACCAGGCAGGCGCTTGTGCCCCAGGGGTGGTCGGGCTGCATCTCCATGCTCTTCAGCTACATTTACTTCTTAGTTGTTCCTAGTGTCAGCTGGCGGGGTGGGGGTGGGAGCGCCCCTTCATGACCAGCAGCCTCGACCCCCCCCACTACCTGGCAGCCACCCCGCCCCGGAGCTCCTGCCTGCCTTTGGGTGTGTTGTGCTGTGGGCACGGGTTTCCTTTAGCAACTCTGACACCAGTGATGCGCCCATGCAGTTTTAATAATAAGACCACGAGTAGGCATTTAAAAATTGTTTTTTGCTGTGACCAAAATTATATAGAAAAAAGAGAAGTATACTAGTATTTTACTTTAAAGCCTCTTTTTTTCCAACTTCACAAAGGGTTTGCCGTCAGCCTTCAAGTCATCTTGTCCAATCCAAAAGCTGTGTTTAAGCGCCGTGGATCCCAGCCCGGGATGCAGGAGTCGGACTTCCTCAAACAGATCACAACGGTGGAGGAGCTGGAGCCCAAGGCCGGCAACTGCACCAAGGTACGCGTTTCCCTCGGGCCGCGCGGCTGCCCAACGCCCGCGCTGAGCAGCTGCCCACAGGCTCTTCTCCCCTTCCAGGTCCTCGTGTGGCACACTCGGACAGAGAAGGTCAACCTGGCCAACGAACCCAAGTACCACCTGGACACAGTGAGAATCGAGGTATAAAACAGAAGCAGCACTGGGGCGCCTGCCCGGTGGGCGGTCACCCCAGCACAGGGCCCCAGCCAGCGGGCCTGTCTGCACGAGCTGCTCCACTAGCACGCTCATGGGGTGGTGTGGCTCGTATGTTTTCTTCCATTTGTTCTGCATGTTTTCCGAGCAATTAAACTGAAGAGCCCTGGATAGCACCACCAATGCCATGTGCCGTTCTGTACCTTACACACTTTTCTCATTTGTTCCCATTTGGCCTTATAATTGACAAAACTGAACAGGTTTTAGAAACAGGTGATTAGCATTTTGTCAACTTAATGTTCTCAATTCCTAACTTTGCAATGTTCATCTTTATAAGGTCGATCAGTATACATCATAGGAAATAAAACCCACAGAAAAGAGGTCTATGGAGTCATCTGTTTAATAGAGGGCTATAACATTTTGTCGATACTAGGCACCATAAAATGTAAACACAATTACTGTCATAAACCTGGAGATGCCTTCAAGGACTGAAGTGGCTTTGTTTAGTTACCCTGTTTGCGTATAGTGCAGAGAAAGGTCTTCACATTAAGCACTATGTACATAAGAAGAGATCCAAATTACAAGGGAGGCAGATAAAATTTGAATTCTTTCAACATTCGTTAAGCTCACTTTTGTAGTAACATCCAGGTTTATCTTCCTTTCACTAACCAGGTTCCCTGTTACAGACATCATCATAACAGCACAGTGACATGTACGATGAAATAAAAGAATTTTGATACTAAAAAACAGTGCTCAGTGGTACATTTACATTCTATTTATAGCATTAAACATTTGATCATATAGTACCTTCCTACAGGATTACTGGCTAATCTGGGGGTGGGGTGTGTACTGTCAGAGGTATTACTAACATGATAACTACTTCCCTTAGATGCAAACCTTAGAGCTATAATTGTATCCAGAGTAAAACTGATTATGCACATTGGCTGAGCAGCTTCTCCAACATAGTTTATGAATCACAGGAAATGTGAGCACAGCTGCCTGGACATCAAATGGTTTCTCAACCTGCTTTTCACCACACTTAATAAGTACAGATCAACACGGTCAATCAGGTAATTCTTAATATGAACAAATGGGGAAAAGGAAAAAAATGTATGTACATGAATTAACGGGAACTAGACGACGCATTTTAGCAGGAATGTCAGGCGGTAGATTGGATGAAACGGGGGTGGCACTCACTTCCACAACTGCGTGCTGAGCGTCTGCCCCGCTGCACTGCCTGCCCAGCCTGCAGCCGTGGGGGGCGGCTGCCCCAGGCCCGCCGCGGGGCTCCCACTGCCAACGCTCATGCCGGCCATCTGCTGATTCACCTGGGAAGCACACAATGGGCTCATCTTAAGAGGCTTACTTCACTTGTAACTCCTAATAGTTGCCCTATTTTATTAGAAACTGCCTTTATTTAAAGTTGACTCAGACAGTCAAGTTTAGTAGCAATTATAAGTATTTTCCATCAACGTGATAGAGCACCAGGGTAAAGCAGACCCCACCCCCGTCCCCCACAGTCATTCTCTACAGAAGGTGGCGGCTACCCTGTTCCCTCCGTTTTTTTAGCACATTCTGTAAGGTGATCTCAATTTTTTGTCCCCAAAGATTGACCACAGCTGAAAACAGTACCAAAGTAACCTTTGATTCACATCTGGGCATAAGTCCATTCTAACTTTCACCAGGATATTGTTCTATAACTGTTAAAGGACTAAGGCAAATCTAGAAAGTAAAATACTCTAAATTATATATATTCTGCTTTTATTAAATTCTTAAATGGTTTTTATGTACTAAATAGTAAAAATGGTCACAAAGCATAAACTTTTTCTTAGTTAACCACATAAACATCTATAATTAATTCTCATAAGCCTACAGATATTTTCCTTCCCAACTGGAATCACGTACACGGACATAAGCAGTCTCACTTCCGAGACTGACAGTGAATAAGGACAGGCTGGATTCATCACGTCACCGATGCGGCCTCAGTGTCTGAAGGGGCAGATCACTTCCCATCTATCAGAGGATGTGTGAACCCCTTGGGGTGGGCCAGGGGAGTCCACTGCGGGGGTGCTGGAGAGAAGCGCCCCCTTCTGTGTGCCTGGAGTAGGGGCAGCATTAACCTCTTACCGGCTCCTCCAGCGCCTTGGCCTGAGCCGGGTGAGCTTCACTATTCTGGCTGCACAAAAGCTGTTACTGACATTTGGTACTGAGAGTTCCAGAGCAGCGACCAGTGTCGCGGAGGTACTCCTTTAAATAGTAATAGTAAAAGCATTCGTGGCCTGTACAAGGATCGTGCTAAGGTAACCAACACCAGCAAAACACTATGGCCTCTTCCCTTTATGCTTTCAAGGGAGAAGAGCTGCCCAGGACAGAACCCACGATCGCGAAGACGCTGGAGGAACATCAGAGAGGAGGCGTCAAGGGAAGGGCGGCAGCAGCCGAAGGGCTTCTGTCCACGGGGTCCGAGAGGAGAGGGGCCCTTGAAGGTCATTCCTGTTCTCTCAACTAACTTAGGCAGAAATAGGATTTTATGTTTTGAGGTGACTTTGGTGACGAATAATGGGTTTATTCATATCTTACGGGAATTCTTTAACTAGTGGGATATTCTTTTTAAACATAAACACAATTTATAGGATAAGTGAAAGGAAATACAACTTCACAGTTTTTGAACAAGAAGATTTTTTTTCAGTCCATGGGCAGATTACAGCTGCTGTAACCTGCAATGAAAAAATGCTTACCACTCATGACAGAACACTGTGTGTGAAAGTACATCACAGCAAATGGGCTGTCGTCCCTGCACAAAGTCTCCACACAGTTTTGACTTTACACATTACCCCTACTCAATTCTTTCTACCAGACTGTTAGATTTAAATAGAAAAAAATGGCACTTAGAAAATCCATCTCATTTCTCTGAAACGGAGAGGCCGGAGAGCAAAGCCCCCTACCTGTGAGAGGCTCCACTGGCCGAACGCACTCTGCGCTGCGCCCATCTGTGCCCCCACGCCTCCTTGGGGGCCAACCACAGTCTGAGGAAGGGGCGTGGCACCAGTCTGTGCACTTCCCAGAAACCCGTTGGGCATGGGCATGCCCACCAGCATGCTCGTGCTCTGCCCCATCACGTTTCCCATCAGGCCCGGGGCTGCAGGCACAGGCACGCCCATGGACGGAAAGGCTTGAAATCCCGCCGGTGCTTGTGAGGCAAATGGCATGCCTGTGGGTCCCATAAACACACCTGTGCAGGAGATCCATGAAAAGAAAATGAACAGGGCTGCGGACGGCAGCGGCACTCACCCTATAACCACAGGAAAAGGATGCTGTCTTTCTCAACTATCCACAGCAAACTTCAACTGCTCAGACCAACTCACACACCCTTGTGAGCTGGTTACTTCCAAAATGCAGACCAATCAGTTAGGAACGTGAGCAAATCTGATTATAACCAAGTCTTATGCAGTAGCTACACAGAGAGTATCCACACTGGGCAGCACACGTGCCGTCCCTGCTGGGCTGCACCACTGGCCTCCCGCTACCAGACACATGGCTGAGAGTTGACTGTGCTGGCTTTACAGAAGCAGTTGGGATGTCATATAATTTCAGCTCATAAATGAAAGGCAGCTCATTATTTTAGAGGCCAAGGTCTAACAGAGTAAAACTGTGTAAACAATACATCTTATTGTGCTAGTATTTCATTATAAATGCAAAAAAAAACCCAAAAGCATTTTGGAATTTATGTGATAATTCAGATTCCTCATTTACCTATAGAGAAAATACTGTATACAAAGTTATAAACTCCACGCAAGTCAAGTTTGAATAATTCTTCAAAGATAATCCACATCCTATAGGCTTGTGAAAGAACATTAAGTGATAGGTGAACAGCTTGTTAATTCTGAATAGTTTTGTGAATCCTATACATGCTTGTTAATTCTAATGTTTCAGTTTTGTAGTTGTGTAAATTTCAACAGAAGCACCCACTACACAGAAATACAATATTATAACCACAAAGGATATACTTCTAGTCATCACAGCAATTCCCGAAAGCAGATTTTCAAAAGCATTACCAGGAGCGCTCTGCTGCCGCATGGCCCCGGCGCCGTACAGAGACAGGATGGAGTCCATGGAGAGCTGTTTCTTTGCCACCTCGTCTGACTTTGCAATTTGCTCGCCGAACAGATCCAGATCGCCAGTGGTTACTGTAGACAGAGTGGCAGCGGCTGATACAGAGGATGTCCCCTGAGACAGACATCAAAATAAGCCGTCCAGTTCTGCATACTAACAACAGCTCATCCGTTAGGTAAAATCCAAGTCATATTTTGAAATTTAAAACTTAAACGATTATAGCAGGTAAAATGGTGACATTAAAAAGGATCATTGACAAGCCCACACAGAAACATCCAGAATAAAAGTATGTATCCTACGCGTTGAATCTGTAAATATAAAAGAGGTAAACTGAAGCTCTTTCCTAATGATTAAATCTTCCTGCTGGGCTGACGCTGAGTCTCCGCCCCTCACATCACTACCACGCTGGGAGAGGCCACCTCCCTCGGCAGCTGCGTCCCCAAGTGACCGCTACGCCTTGGAATAGAGAACAGTCCTCCCGCTATGGTAGATTGGAGAGGCCTGCAATGGCTGAGATGCTTCTCTTAAAAAAAAAAAATTGTTTTTCAAAAGCTGCTCTTTGATATTTTTATAAACCTAATCTAGATCAGTTTCAACCACATCAGAATTCTCCTAGTCCAGAATGAAGTCTGCACAGCAAGACTTCCGCCACCTACACTCTCAATGGTATCTTGCACTTCACTTTTGGACAAGGGGCAAATGAGCACAAATATAAATAAACATGCAGATATTTAATACAAAACAAAACTTTTCACTTTATCTCCAATATCCAGTACACAGCATCATACAATCACATTCACGTCTGTCTATGTGGAATTGTTTCAAATATGAAGTATTTCAGAGAATTCCGTGAAGACTGGTGGTAACCGGGTAAGAGCCTTCTTCAACTACAGGATAAGATAAGTAGTAAGAAGAAGTTAAATACGATTTGCCTTGAACTTTTAAAAAATATTTCAAATGTTTAACATGTTTGGCTAAAAACCTTTCAATAAATTTCCACCCAAGCAAACGCACTCACAAACTACTTTAGGGAGGACAGTATTTTGAATCTGACTTAAGAAATAAGCAAGAATTTTGAGATAGACAAACAACTTAATTTTGCAAAAGATGTGAAATGTGTGAGCAACTGGACGCGGCAGAATACCGGATGTAACAGTGCCCGGGGAAAAGCTGTGTGCCTGCCAGCGAGGAAGCAGAAGGCTGCAGGAGCTAAGGGCGTGGGCTCCAGGGCCAGCCAGCCGGGGCCCTGACACTACCACGACGGGCCCTGAGACTGTCCCCGACCCTCCGTAAAACGGGGTGAGACCACCGACCTTACAGAGCCGCCTGATGCTCACCGGGAGTATCTGCACCATGGCAGGGCCACAGGCACTGTTTACTTCAAGGTTGTTACGTAAGAAAGCAACCAGCTCACTAAGTGACCTCTGCATTGTGCTTTTAGTTTTTGTTCAAGCTAAGAAGCTGCTCAAAACCCCAGGTCTATTCCCTGAACCCAAAGTGGCTGGGAAGCTGCTGCCCCAGTCCCCTCTTGGGGCAGCCTAATGGTCACATGCTTGAACCGTGTGTATTTCTTCTGATGAAGGCAGGTAACACAGAACATCACCCCAATACAGACAGTCCCAAAATCTAGACTCAACAGCACGACTAGGAAGCCCATGCCCACTCATCATGATTCTGACGCTCCATTTGCCAGACCACAACTCTCGGATAAAGGGACTTTTCCCTTCAGTGTAACCTCAGGAGGCTGCAGGGCCGCTAACTGGAGGCTCCATGGGTCTGCGATCCTAGCACTGCGCCAGGACAGGGTACAGCCCTTGGGCAGGTCCCTGCACTGCGGGCGGAGGCCTGTCACAGACGAACAGGGAAGGGACGGCTTCTCCATGTCACTTTTGGGGACTCTGGAATGGCTCCCCTCAACCTTTAATACACATGTATACCACAGCCAGCTGCGTTTTTCTAACCCCCTTAGGAAGACCAGCCAGCCAGGCAGGGGAAGCAGACAGTAAAACCTGGCTCATATTCACATGAGTAGGAAAATGTCTCCTACTAGAATCTGTCCTATGTTTAGAAGATAAAATTAAGAGTGAAAGAATATAGAGTTCAGAGTAATTCCAACTGGTGTCCAATTACTTTCACATAATAAAGATCTACTGAAATTAGTATATTAAATAATCCCAATATATGCATAAGTGGTATACTTTAACCTGCCTTCTCACTCCATTGTCAAAGGTATTTTGAAAACATATCTATCCGGCTTTTAATCTTTACATAAATTTTAGATAAAAGATAATTCTGCTCACCAAATATTTACAGGGCTCAATACAACTGGCACAATTTTGGTCCAAAAATGATGTTCAAAAAAAGAATTAGCTGTGCCAAGTCATCAGTTACTGGGGCAGAATGGCCACCGCACGGAGGCCAGACCGATTCCTCACCAGCAGGGCCCCAGCCCTGCCGTGGCGCTGCTTCAGCGGCGAATCAAGCCTGCCCTCGCTGCCCTGCCCGTGAACAGGACGCCCAGAGCACAGAAGCCACAGACTTAAGACTCTCCGGGCAGCTGCAAGGCAACTCCCGTGGCTCCAGTGGAATCTCAAGAAGTCTAGCAGGTAAAGCAGCCTCGCTATGAAATGCTAGACCAAAAGAAATTGCTTTTCATGCTCAGATTGTTAAATATCCTAAATACTTCTTTCTACAGCCACAATATTGGCCTTAGACAATTTTATTATCACATGCATACCCATGTCTGCACAAATTCATGAGGTAATTAATGTTAATTGAAACAATAGTAGCAACATTTAATCCCTCTTTTTCTGTGCTGGGGAAGGGAGAGGCAGCAAGTCCATAAAACAAAGCTATCTTTTCTGAAAATAAACATTAATGATGCAGATAATTTGGATAAAGATCCATTTAAACCAATTATTCCTAAGAAATCTATTTCCTCAATTCTAGTGGTAATTATACAATGACTATCATAGTAACAACAAATATGTGTAATAAAGATATATGTAGTTAGTAAGCCAGGTTCCTTCTTATAAAAACCTTCCACCTAGATGACTCCCATTTGGCTCCATTTTTCTAAAGAATAAGAAATGTTTTTACTTTAAAGATTATGCTGTACTGAAACAAACTGGTTGTTTTATTTGTAAAGTATAAATTTAGAACAGAATCTTGAAGTTGTATGCTTAAACACTAACCCGGATTCCTGAAAGTTCATCTTTTCACTTTAAAGAAAGATAAATGCTCCATGGCATCACTTACACGTGGAATTCAAAAAAATTGAAAAAATAAAAATAAAAAGAAGCCAAACTCACAGAAACACAGAGTGGTGGCTGCAGGTGGGGGAATTACAAGGAGGCTGGTGAAAGGAACGAACCTCCAGGTGTAGGATGAGTACGGTCTGGTCTGGGCACCTACGTGTACAGCGTGGCGACTGTAGCTCATTACACTGTGTGACTTAAATTTGCTAAGAAAGCAGAACTTAAGTGTTCTCACCGGAAAAAAAAAAAAAAGCGAACGTGAGGGGGAGGACTGCGCTGGCCACCTTGACAGTCGGCGGGGGCCTTTCACAGCACACACGTGCATTAAGTCACTGGCTCATGCACTTCAAATATATTACAATTCTACTTACCAGCTATACCTCAATAAGGCTTAAAAGAATATTCAAAAATTCTAATTTGCAACTTTAAAAAAGGAATAAAGACCAACAGAAGAAATTCCATATGGAGGCAATTCAAACTTTTTTAACCATTCATATTGTAAAAAGAATCCTGATCACTAATACCATGTTCCAAATAGTTTTTTAAAAACTCATTGAAGCAAAAAAGCAAGGTAGGTTTTAAGGTTACCTTAAAACAATTTATCTTCACAAAAAAGGATATAAGTACAAAAGCTGCTATAATTTGTTATTCTGTTTTCTTGAAACTAAGAGTAAATAAACACTGTGTTGGGGATGGCTAATAGAATGTAAGGAAAGAACCCCTGACTTCTCAGCAACGTACACACACCCAGTTTAAAAACCTCTGAGGTAAGTGACCTTGTTGATCTCAGTCCAGGCTGAAATACTCCACGTTTCTCCTCTTGTTCATTCTAAACACTGCTGTTTGCCAACAGCAAGAGTCAGCAAACATGGGACAGTGACTATTTAGGCTTTGTGGGTGGCGGAGCGTCTGTTGCTACTGGTCAACTTGTTCCTGTAGCGTGAAGCGGCCACAGGAGGCCTGCGAACAAATGGGGCGGCCATGTTCCAATACAACTTGATTTGCAAAACCAGCCTGCAGACTAAAGAACAGGCTTTCAAATCAGCGACCGCTCAGAAATAATTTTCAAAATTGAAACTTTGAAATTATTTTTAAATAATAATAAGCAGTGATCATGCAAAATAATCTTACCACATACCTGACCCGGGGGCGTGGCAGTTGCAGGCAAGGGGTTAGAAATCATTGGTCCAAAGATGTCCAGATCATCGTTCAGGGCTGGCGCTGTGGCTGTGGTCCCATTAGTCACTGGTGCCTCTGCAGGGCCATCTCAAAAGAAAACAGGTTCTCATCTTGAAGAGGAATCTCAAAAATTACTTGACAATGGCATTATTTTAAAAAGTAATAAATGGTTAAAAAAAGAATACTTTTATGAACTGTGTCTTTCAGAAATTTTAAGTCTCTTCTGATAGTACATTATCCTCTACTAAGAATAATTACTTATTTATACTTTCAAATCTAAACCCTGCTCGGTATCTTATTTTACCTGTACCAAGCCTGCGCGCGCGCGCACACACACGCACACACACACACACACACACAC